TGTAAGAGAAAAAAACTTGACTGATGCTTGCTCGCTAGTGCTTTTAGAGTATCTATTTCAGTGGCCTTCTCAGAAAAATAAGGAAACATAGAGGTGTCTTCTAAACGAGTGTAAGTATGGTAGGCGTGGAATGGGAATCCTCCAAGCAACATTCTAAAGGTGTGTCCATATTGCTCGCGAGCAGGCCGAACGAACACTTGAAACACAAAAAAACATGGCAAACAGTCGGAGCGAGACGTTAGCGTCGCTCGCGACGGTGCTCCACTTGCTTGCGATCTCATAAAATGCCTGTTTCAACTGTTCGGCTCTGTCGCGTTACATCAAAGAGACGCTTCGGTGCCATGCGAGCATACTTTACGGCAGTTTGAAGCGCTCGAGCTGTTTGCGTTGTTTGTTCAGTTTTTAGTTTGGTTTTATTCATAGGATTCGGTATTTACTGCAGTATGATGATACTACTATGATTTTTCTTATTTTATTTTGTTCAGAATTACAAATATTTGTGTTTTGTTCCTCGATTAATAATACTAAATATACGTTTAATAAAATATAACTCTATATTTACATTGCTTACTTATTTTAATCTGATCTTTGAGAACTTTATTTATATTTTGGCATACGCCTGGTATTATTTTTGAAGTGCTTTGCTTGGAAACTTTGAATAAATAACCCAAACTGGTATCCGAGTCTCTAATTGCAAAGAATCTTAATGCTATGACCAATCTTTATTTAACTCTTTCTTTAAACGGAATACACTTCCTAAAAGTTGTATTTTTCCTTTTTATACGGGGGCCAACTAAGTTAATAAGTCTTTCAAAATCACTAGCGGACATGCGATAAAAAATATTAAAAAAAACATTCTGTGTGTTTGTAAATCGCGTAGATGTTTATTTTCGCTGTGCTGGGACCTACTTTTGAAATTATTATATTATATTTGAAATTATATGACATCCAACACCACCTTTTTTTCTCTTTGTCTTCTTCGTTTTGCAATAATGATCGGACCAGCAGCCGCTATTAAAAATACTTCGGTATCATGTATGTCCGAACGGTACGAATTCAAGCACTACATTCAAATGTGGACGCCGTTGCATGCGAGCCGAAAGATCTTGAGCAACAAAAAGGGGGGACACAGTAGATATATAAGGTCGGGATGATAAACTACAAATCTTCTATCTACAATTTATTTTAAAAAATGGTGAATAGAAAATAAGTTTCTGTTGCCCAGATCTTTCACCATTTAAAATACTTGCTTGTTATTCTAAAGCTAATCTAGATTGACTTATTTCTTTGAGATTTTTAGAGATATAGCTTTCAAAAAATCACCCTGTATAGAACATATATTCTCTTTTTCTGTGCTTTTAGCGATTTCTGTTTGAAATCGACACGGATTTCACTAAAGCCGGCGATATTGCCTTCTATCTTCTTGTACGTCTGAACTTTTCGTTCGACAAGACATATCAGATGACAGAAAAATCGCAAACTTTTAGATTTCGGGGAACTTTTCATGTATTACGAAAAGTATATAACTTGATCGATTTATTTTTCACGTTTAAAACACTATACAGTGTGTCTCAGCCGAATGGCGCGGGGACATGTCAATGAGGAAGATGCATATATTTTATTTTTCGCCAGAAACTGTTCAATTTATTAGAATAAATATGTATAAATGCAAAAAAAAACTTTTTTCTTGAAAGCAGTACCACAATTTTATAAAACGGGCCATTAAAATACTATGGATAACGCAAACGACGCCTCGCGAATTGAAACGATATTCTATTGGTGTGACGTCACCCGCCGTTCTCGTCGACGCGCGATGGCCAGCAGCAGCCAGATGTGTTCCGTTTATGTACGTATTTAGGTGGAGTACTAAGACATTTTTGTTGCTTTTAGCGTTGATTGAAGGAGCTTTTTATGCTTTTTTGTGCAGTTATTATTTGTATGTGTTGTGTGTTCTGAGAATTTTTTAAGTAATGGCAGATTCCGGGTTTGTAAAAGTACAATCAGATAACTTGCCAAAAGTCGATGCTTTAATATTGGCTGCTTTTATAAATACAAATTCCCAATTTATTGGTGCTGAATTACGATGAAAAAAACAGAGAGGTATGTAACATTTATTCTTTGTAGTACTGAGGCATATTTAAGTATAAGTAGGTACCTACTGTTACGAACTTTCATATAGTTATAAATATTAATGTTATAAACTTATTTTTCAGATCAGGTAGGGAGACGTATGGAGATACTGCTATAGGTTATGTAGAAGTGAAAAGAGACAAAAATATTTGTTTGGTACGTGGAAAAATAACTCCAGAGCATAGCGTGAAAAAGAAAGTTTTTTTATATATATTGACACCCCCTTACCCTTGTTATTTTTAAAGATTGTTTTTTTACGAAATTATATGAAATAAATTGTTTATCAGTAATGAAAATATTATACAAGGTGTCCCGTAAGCAAACGCCAAAATTAAGTTACTTTTTAAGTGAAACATCCTATATATTTTTGGATTCTTCGGAAATTTCTAGATATTCTAGATATATTTCATGTATAATATCCTATACCTATCTTCAAATGTTTACGAAATATTGACAGTTGAAAAGCGAAAAATACCTACAATTTTCTGGACTACCTTTTTTGAGACACCCTGTATAACTAGAATTAATTTTAAAAGAGAGTATATGAAAAACCATGCAACTTTTTTATTTAATGTTTTCTTCTAAAACTTGCATTTAAGGCTGTATGTGGGTGTCAAAATATAATGAATAACCCTGTACATTCAAATTTGATATGTAAGACAATATACATAAATATAATACCTATGTAAGACAATATACATAAATATATGAACTTACATCAAAATGATCTTCACAACAATAAATCGTAAAAATAGAGGATGATTTAACGTTTTTCTTTTCATCTCTTCTCATGGCCTTGGACCATTTTTTTCTGTTTTCGCTCATCCATTACTATTTATAAATATCACTAATTACTAATTATGTATTAATTAACACAAATAACTAAAATTTTGACTCGGATTCAATAGCGTTTAAAAGCAAACTGTGTAAAATAAACACGCGTCTGGCTCCACTCAACCAGAAGAACGGCGGGTGACGTCACAGCGGCAAGGCGCGGTAGAGAGCGTTTGCCCGGCCATTTAAATTACCAATATTTAATTATTTTATATTAGAGGCATTTCTTAACCGATATCAACGATTTTTTTTTGTTCAGTTTGTAATTATATGAACTATTTTTTAAAACCATTATTTAAAAACATGCATTTTCCTCATTGATATTTTTAGTTGTGCATTTAAAAAAATAGAATTTGTTTAAATTTTCAGTTAATAAAACAACAACTCGATAATATGACAACATAGATAAATAATAGATTAAATAGAGAAAGGAACAACACAAAAAACAGTGATTTTCGAAAATTCTTCTTTTACTTATTTGAGGTCTAGTCGATCTGTTAATTTTAAGTAGGAGTTCTTGGGACATGGACTGCCAACTGTCTTTCCAGCTTTTTGGAGGCCTTCGCGGCTGTCTCTTACCCATGGGTTTTCCCTCAAGAGCTATGCTTGGTAGCTAAGCATTGTTTTTTTCTTTGCCTATCCCATCTTACTACGTACTGTATTCCACAGTGTTGTCTGATATTTACGTTTCTAATTCTGTCTCGTCTAGTCTTCCATATTATGGTTCTTAGATTCTTCATTTCAGCGCCTCTTAACATGCTTTTGGTCTTGTTTGTTTCCTCTCTGATTTCTATGCCATATGTCATTATTGGTCTGATGCAGGTCTTATAAATTTTAATTTTGCTGTCTGTTCGCATGAAGGGGTTTGTCCACCCTATTTGTCTCGAGACATACTGACATGGCCGTTGCTCTGTTTATCTGGCTTCTCAGATCTTTCTCTGGATCATGGTAGTGCGACATATCTATTCCTAGGTATCTGAACTGTGATACTTGCTCAATAATTTTGTTTTCTACTACCAGTTTGCATCTTACCGGCTCTTTAGAGAAAGTTAAGCATTTAGTTTTTTTCTGTGGAGATAATCATATTTAATTCTCGGCTTACTTGATAGAATTTATGAAGCTGTCTCTACATATCGTTCTCTGTCTCCGCGATAATAGCTGCATCATCAGCGTAACACACTATGCTAACTCTGTTGTATCCCATTCGATAACCGATATTCATCGAGGTCACCTTTTCTGTGATGATATCCATTAAAAGATGGAATAAGAAATTTAAACGTAAAAAATAAAATAAATAACATGTAAAGATAATCCGGAGACATACTGTAGAGTTGTTTGTGTAATACCTTCTTAGTACGTTGATCAAGTTACATGTCTCTCTGCTAAAATTGGTATTTTTCTCGACTTTCTCACATTTCTAAATAAACGAAAAATCGACCTCCAAATGTTTCCGTGTATAAGAGTCGTTTTCACTTATCTATTTGCTGTTAATTTGGTAAATTGATCTTTTCTCTTTTTTCATCTGACTTAATCGACTTTCCTCAGCAATTTAGACAGTTTATTTTTATCCCTAACTTGGTATTAAGGTCTCGAATAAAGAAAGTCTGTGTAGAAACAAAGAAAATTTATTTGATTGAAAGAAACTATTCTTGATTTTATTCTCGCAAATACAAACTTTTAGTACGAGAGCTAGCAACGTCGGAAAAAACAGTATTTTAAGACGTCTGACTCTTTGATATATCTTTTACTATGCTCTCTAGAACAGCATGTAGCCCGTCTGGCTGCCGGTAAACGTTGCGTTCCCTACTGTGCATTGAAAGAAGATCCTATATTTTTATATATTATGTCCTTTAAATTCTAGTATTGAATATAAATCGAACATATCTCCATAGCGTATATATCTCCAAAATGTATACAAACCCTTTTTTAATTTACAGTGTGATTTAACCACAGATTTAATAATAAAGAAACGAATGTACGGTTTCATTTTTTTTAATTTGGAAAGCAAAATTATTATAATGTAATATTTTTTTCAGGAATTTTTGTTGGCGATAGACGTAACATCGAGTGGTACTCCTGAGGAAAAACTGAAGTGGGCCTTTAGAATGTACGACGTTGATGGAAATGGCGTCATAGATATACAAGAAATGACTAAAATCGTTCAGGTGAGTCTTTTCTGTCCTAGCTTTGGCGTGGGGTAAACTGTAACACTTAACCAAGCAGACAGTAAAAATGTCTTCTTGGTAAAATTAAACAATTTCAATCTCAATTTCTTTTCCCGTCCTCAGGCAATCTACGACATGCTGGGCGCGTGCTCCTCGAACCGGCCCGCCGACTCGGCCGAGGAGCGCGCCAAGAACATTTTTGCCAAGATGGACGAGAACAACGACGGCCAGCTCACCCAGGAGGAGTTCCTCAAGGGCTGCCTGCAGGACGAGGAGCTCTCGAAGATGCTGGCGCCTTAAGAGGCCTCCCTCCGCGCTCCGTAACCGTCGTCGGTTGCGCGAAAATGCCGATTGGTGCGCCGATGGAGACCTGGAGGCTCCTAAGGCGGGCGGAGAGTTTGTATAGATGTGTTAAAGGTGTAAAATAAGATAAAGCGAGGTTCTATTACTGTAAGACGTTGTCCAGTCTCACCTCTTTTATATCTAATAAATTAAATTTCGATATAGGTGATGTTTAATGGTATCGATTTAAAAGATTGATATGTCGAATATTTTCTTTGTTTTCTTATTTATTCAGTTTCAGAGATAGATTGAGTTTTGTGATAGATATTTTTCAGGAGGATATGCCTATTCCTACTTCCTTAGATTGCAATGAAAAATTAAATTTAGTTGTAAAAATTGATTTGATGATGCGGAATATGAATAATATATCTTTCATAGACTAACTGAAACGAGACGGTTTTTTAGTGTTTAGAGAGAAAATTATATTGGAATGATGGACAACGGTCCTAAAATAATAGAGAACAACTCGCTACAATTTCTAGTCATTTCATTGGTCTGATCACTGACGTACACTACCGTAAGAACCAATCCGCATTTTCCGCAACATTGACCAGCACACTAGCGGCCTCTAGTTAAGCCTAACGAACATTCGGCTGAGGGTCCCGGGTTCGAATCCCGCTTGTAACTGGCACAATCGTACGCTGAGAATTAAAAGACTTTTATAAACTTATAAAAACACACACAGAAAAATCCTTGGTATATGTGGTTTTCCCAGACTTCGAAAATGTTTCCTATTGACTGTAAAATAATATTTATGAACGTTATCTATATTAAAAATAAACAAAAAAAAAATAGGAGACTTTTTTGACGAAATTTTTGCTAAATAATATTGGAATTTATATGTATTATCTATATACGAACAGGTATTGTCGTATATTTGTGGATTTCTCTATCCAGTCTGTAAATCTAAGGTAAATATTAATTAAAAGAAAACAGGGCGTGTCTATAATTAACAGAATTAGTGTGACGTTACTTATATGCAACCAACAATACGCGGAATCCTAACAAGGTTTCATAACCCGTATGTATCCTACTGTCTGTACTGTCTAATTTCCTGCCAGTTGTTCTTTTATTATACTCTTGGCGAAATGTTTATTATATACGTAGTGTATATATAAATATCCTGTATACCTCATTGACATAAATAATCAAATGCTGTACAGGGTGCTACAAATTCGAGGTACGAGCATTGGTATCTCGGAAACCATAATAGATACGAAGAAGGTTAAATTGGGGCAAAGTTGCCGTTTTGGAATGTTCACCAAGATGCCATCAAAAAAGTTTTAAAAATTTCAAGGATTGCTGAGTTTTTTGGAAAAACGGATTTTTTTGAAAATTTATTTTATTTTTTCCTGTCGTTACTTTTCGGAAAATCAAAAAACTAATTGGACATTCTCATAGCCACTTTATTAGGGCTATCTGACAGTTTTTTTTAGATTTTCAAATTAGCTGATAATTTATGAGATACAGAGGCCGACTTAATTTTTTTAAATACGGACCTTATTTTGATGGCATCTTGGTGAACGTCCCAAAGCGCAACTTTGGGACGTTCTTACTTTGGAACCAATTTAATACCGAGATATAAATGCTCGTACCTCGAATTTGTAGCACCCTGTATAATGCTATATGAGTGTAGTTTAATTTTCGAACCTGTGTCAGCTATACTTAAGCTCCAATTTACACGATCAAATTGTAAGGGAAAATAATTAGGATTCACTGTAATGGTGGTTGCATATATTGTGACTTTACCACTAATTTGTTAAACACACATAAAAAACCTTGACGCTCATATATTTTACCAAGTATATTTATATTTTCTAATCAAAAATGTTCTTAGAAATAATAGATATATCTCATATACTTTTAAGTAAAAAAATCATATTAAAAAATATTCAAGGATTAAATAATTTTCTGAGAGATAATTCAAAAAATATATATCAATATAATTGGTAAATTAGATGTAAAGATTTTTTTTATTTGCCACAAGATTGTATATTAACATTTACAATGTTTAGTATAAACAATTTCCTACTACTAATTCAAAAACTATTTATTTTAAATCTAGACCAATCACGATTTTATACCATTTTTGCGGATTAAAAACAGAAATTAAAATTAAAAAGCATAAACCAAGTACAATACTTAGATTTGGGTTATATTAATAAAATCTAAATAGAGATTTGAAAAAAGAATTATCTGAAAATCTATACCTATTTTTATTTAATAAAATAATATACTTATTCTATTTATATCTAGAGATTAATAATTTTGAATTTATAAAACAGGGTTGTAATAGAAATAATTTTATGTATTTTATATAATTGTTATATCATATACAGGGTGTCCCAATATATTATTGGAATCAAAATAAGTTTATTGGACACAATTTACCTCTATACAAAAGTGCTTCGTCTGTCCGTTAGAGGGCATCAAGCTTTAAAAAATAAACACACTTTTTAAGATATTTTATGAACCGATATTGCGATTTGAATGAGATTTGGGGTGCCTATGTTTTGCTAAGCGCTTTAACATTTGGTTTTCACAAAAATCAAGAAAAAGTACGGGAAGGGATTTAGCCACGATCTTGTTGTCTGCCCTTTTGTATACGGCTTTTAAAATAAAAAAAAAACAGCGCTTTATTGTACAAAAAGCCAAAACAGCTTCATCGACAAAGCAAAACAAAAAAAGCACAAAAACAAATATACAAATAATACAAAAAATGTCATACAATACAAATCAATTCAAAAAAAAATGTACGTCATAAAATTACAAATAAAACATATATGGACATTGCAGAACACAGGCGTATCTAGAAAATTTTACAAAAGGAAAACTGTAAATGGATAAAATCATGTTATAATAACATAAAATCAAGAGTTATAAAATATTAAATACTAGACCTTTAACCAGTGTGTGAGATGATCAAAATATTAAAATTAAAATTCTAAATTGTTCATGATTAAACATCAACAAAAAAGTCGTTTACCGCATATAGGGCTCTCTCCAGTAAGTATGATTTCAGAGCTTTGCGAAATGCGGGAAAGAATGAAAGTGACTTGATATTCGAAGGCAAATGATTGTACATTTTCTTGGCATTGTACAGTATTGAGCCCTTAACTAGTTCTGAGCTCGGGGTTGGCAGATAAATATCGTGCTCCGCATTCCTAAGTGGATAGTTGTGAGAAGGCCTTTCCGGAATAGAGAATATGTGCTTGCGGATTAAGCAAACGGATTCAAAAATGAATAAGGAAGGAAGAGTCAGTATTTTGAAATTTTTAAAGAAATTCTGGCAGTGAGTTCTACTGTTTAGTCCCAATAAGTATCGAACTGCTCTCTTTTGAAGTTTGAAAATACGATCAAATTTTGTCGCGCAGCAAGTACCCCAGAATGGAAGGGCATAACGAAGATGCGACTCAAAAAGGGCATAATAGACCATTCTAGAGGTTGATGAGTTAAGTTCCTTAGACACTGATCTTAGCGCAAAACAGGCAGAGCTTAGTTTCTTTGATAAGGCTTCGATGTGCAAGTCCCATTTTAAAGAGTTGTCCACAACAAGTCCTAAGAATCTCACAGAGTCCACGACGTCAATAGTGGTGTTATTAAGTACAAAAGGTTGTATAGTACCTTTATATGACAAAACTTTAGTTTTTGAAAGGTTGAGGCATAGATTATTGAAAGGTTGAGGCATTAGAATCGCACCAAGATTTAATGGTGCGTAAGTCACTGGATATAGTATCATATAGTGCCGTAACATCTGGGCCACTCCAAGTGAAACTAGTATCGTCCGCAAAGAGGCAGATTTTACCGCTAATGTCTAGATTTGCAATGTCGTTGATAAACACCAGAAATAAAATAGGGCCAAAGTACTGAACCCTGAGGGACACCACATTCTATAGGCTTACAAGAAGACATAGACGTATCAATCCTCACAAGCTGCCTTCTGTTGCCAAGATACGACTTAAGCCATTCGAGCGGCACTCCCCTGAATCCATAGTTTTGCAATTTGTTAATTAAGATATTATGATTTACACAGTCGAAAGCTTTAGAGAAATCACAGAAAATTGTAGCTGTAGAGTGATGGTTATTCAGGCTAGAGTATACATTATTAAAAAGGTCGAACATAGCATTATTTGTGCAACTGTTACTTAGAAATCCAAATTGATGGGTAGAAAGTACTTTATATTTAAGGAGAAAAGATAGAAGCCTTTTTTTAACCAATCTTTCAATGATCTTAGATAATGTAAATAACATTCCACCAATGGGCATGCATGTATGCCATGTTTTTTTTCAAAATGCTATGCCTCTTTCGCGTTGTCTGTCAGCATTTTAGCAACGAGAAAAATGCCTGGCAACAATTTTCCACGTTTCTTAATAATAAATAAAAGCTATTTTCGCAATTATAATTCGTGTACTTTGTAATATTTTTAGTGTCAAAATTTCACCCTTTCGATTGGCCGCCCCCGCTTTAAGCCCCGGGATCGCGCTGGCAGACATGACTGTTTCATAATGGCTACCCAAAAGGATACTTCACAAGAAAAATTAGCCATGTAACGATGATAAGGTTTTTTATGTAGCCAGCTCTTTAGACTATTACTACATTTCTGTTTCTTTCTGTAAAAAAACGCCACATCGCATAGTTTTTGAAATAGTTTCCAAAAAAAATACACAATGTTTTTAATCCGCAAAATATATTTTTTTCTTTTATACATAAACAACATGTCAAATTTCAAGTCAAGGTATAAAGTAACTCATTGCATTTATACATAGATTTAGAAAAAGAATATACTAGAATAGACACTTTCAAGCTTACCAAAATCACTTCTTCAACTTATAGGACCAGAATTATAGCCTGTTAGACTGTCTATCTCTTTCACAACTCACCAACTATCTTATACACTTAAATTTATAAAAAAAAAACCAATGTAACATCTCTTTCTCGCTATAATGTAAGTAATCAGAAATATATTATGTAATAAAAGAATTTTGTCAAAGACATTTTCTAAAATGTACTTAAAATAATATAGTAAAGAGTTATTTGTTGAATACACATACCTTCCTTAATGAGAGATTTTGCTAATTTATTTTGGCTAAATTTCGAATACAAGAACAAATAATCTTTATAGTTATTACTATGTAGTACTGACTACCCGTTTTAAATGAATTATAATACTCTTCTTTTAGTATTATATACAGTGTCCCCAAAAAAGTCTGCAGCAAATTTGTTTTTTAATTATTAGAGATAGGTGGAATAGAAATATAAAAAATAGAAAAACAAAGTTTAAATACATCATCATAGTTGTTTTGCTTGTCAAATTTGTCATGAAAAGTATTGTTTAAAATGGTTGTTTAATTTCAGATTTTTTTCAGAAACAAAACCTTGTTCGATTATGATACAAAATACAGGGAAAAATACAACACTTAGTTTTGACTTTCCCCGTATATATCAAACAAGATTGCAAATTTTGGTAGATCGATTTTGAAGAAGACACTATTTACAGTATTTCCTGTTAAATTTTTTTATTTTTTTTCAATTTAGAATTTTAAGAGGGCTTTAAATAAGCAGTAAATTTAGTTTAAAAACGGTAATATTTCAAAAACCACACAGTATAGTATATAACATTATGGGTATTTTACGGAAATTTAGTGGCAAATCCACTGGGCTAAAAAATATATACTATTCCAACCAAATATGTTTGAATCGCCCTGTATGTTGACAAAAATATTTTCAAAATGTGCGTTGCCATTGCCCTCATATTATGTAAAAAAATTGAAATGAAATTTACAAACCAAAAACCTTAATATACATCGAAATATACTACCCCTAAAAATATTTACATTTTTTTAAGACTCACCCTGTATAGCTTTTTTGGAAAACTGTTTTTGATCACTCTGTATATAGGGACTGATCAAACAAAAAATGGAAATTGTCCCAGAGTGTCAAAATTTGGGTGGTAAATAAAACATGTGAAACTAAACCACTTTTTGTAACAACATTTTCCAAAATTTTAATAAACAATAACATTTTGCGACATTTCTAATATGAAATGTCAAATTTGACAGGTGATTAATTAATTTTTGTCTTTTAAACAAATAAAATCTAACTGCGCTACCTGATTTCCATGTCTCTTATATTAAAAAAAATACTTTTTGCAAACTTTTTTTTTGGGATACCGCAAATCCTGAAAAAAATGTTAGATGACCGAATGATTTAGTTTAATGTATGTTATTAAGTTATTTTTGTACTAAAACCAGGCATACTTATATGGAAATTAAGAGAAAAATTATTTAACGTGGGCCATAAAACAAACTAATCGATTTCCAGCATTAAGCACCGAACTGCCCGGTCGAGGGCCTTAAAAATCCGTGGCTATTTAGCATTTTTAACGTTTTACATGAAACACAGCCGAGTGCAAGGCAATAACGTGTTTTAATCGATGATAAACACGCTAAACTTATGGTCACGAATCGCTGTATAACCTTTAGTATTTCAAATAGTGCTAGACTTACCGGTAGTTCGATAGCTTGTCTTCGGCGTTGCAGTGATTTTTCATGTAAAATGTCCGGCAAAAGCGTCAGTTTCTGTTAAAATACATCAGTAACCCGAAAATCCAATCAATGTAAGTAATAACAACACAAAATAAACACTAAAAATCCGCACAAACTTATTTAAACCCATAGAACAATAATGCGTTAAAAAACAAATGTAAATCGCACTTGTCAGAAAAGAAACAATCGAAATAACTTTGATATATCAGTCAATGCAGTCTTTAATAGAACAGGCTCGGAGCGAGATTTATGACGTCACATTAGTTAGATACTACGGATTAATAAATATGTTGTAGAATACATGGAAAACATAATTATTACTCAGATTTTTGGTTTGTATTTTAAAACTGATATAGTTTACATGAAATATACATAAATATACAGTTAATAAATACAACATATTATACTTATTTGTAGTAATAAATACTTTGGCAAATAAACTATGAACTATACAAATTCAACAAATGTTTTACAATATACAAATAATGAATAGGTACATAAGATAATGAGTGAAATGTAAAACATTATTAAAAATTTGGGGTTTGAAAATCGATCTAATTTAACAAAAAAACATTCAATATCTACTAGTGATGTATTATTATTTGCATTCATAAAATTTATATGTATGTATATTTTGCAAGTATAAATTTGTACGAAAAATTATATTTGCAAATAATACAATATCATCGAAAAAAAGGCGCCAGCGATGGTTATCAAATGATGATCGCTGTCATTTTATATGTTAAATTATTTAGGGAATGTCATCGATGTTCATTTCCAAGCTAACTAGGCGCCCGGATATGAGATTTTAAGATAAAGGAATTATTGATTTCTCTATAGGTATGCTTGGTACCTAAAGCTTTAGGAAAAAACAATCTGTTTTTGTTATTGTTAAGTTGTTATAAACATATAGAACGGCTTATTATTTTGTAATGTAAATAAACTACTAAAATTAGTTTTAAGGATGTCTTAGGGAAATATACTTGTAGTTAGCAAGGTAACTAAGATGTGATAAAAAACATCATTGTCAGTGTATTTTAAAAATAAATTTACACCACCACAATAAAAATACAGCACACTCTACTCTCTTCTTCGATCTAAGAAACTTATTAAATCGTCTAGAAATATTTCTGGTTCAGAATCTGTTCATATTTCGCACAAGTTGTATAATAAATGGTGTTTTAAATAGTGTAATTTTAAATGTATTAAGATCGGAACATACTGTATATAGCGCCCGTTAAAATATTTGCAATGTTATTTTTTATTATTGAAATCGAAAAAGAATATAAAAAGTTGGAACTGTTATTTAAAAATAACAGTTATTTAGAAATAACAGCTCAGTCAATAGCTAATAACGTACAATAACAGCTTTTGAATTATTTATCATTAAACAGCCAGAATATATGAATAACGAATATCTTTTAATAAACATATTTTAAATAACATTACAGACACTGTAAACATTTGTAATTTACTATTTATTTAATATTAATCTTGTAATAATAAGAATATGCAACAAAAACGAGTAAAATTATACAATCAATATGTCTGTAAGCCACAACAGTTACAATTCTGAAAGAAAGATTACCGAATGTTGTTTAAGCTTTCAGAATCAAAAAATAACAGCTATTGACTTAATCCAAAGCCTGGTAAATTTTCAAGGCGCAGTTTTTCTTATTTGACATTGCAAGATGTCTATGTCAGAGTACTGTTATTTTGATTATTTATTGAACTGTTACGAGTCTTGTAAAGCTAAAGCGGAGATCCCGAGACTACAACACAGTCGCTGTTATTTTCAGATCTGTTATTTTTTGAAACAACTGTTACAATCTTGTTAGAATTACAAGAGGTACAATTATTACAATTATTATATTACTAGATGTGGCTGTGAGCTGTTATTTTGGTAACTGCTATTTTTTTGAAAATACTGTTAATCTGTTATTTATAAATAACAATTTTAATACATATACGCACACAGGTATGTTTCTACAGGTTTTCTCTATAAATCTATTATAAAAAAGTTCCACGAATTGCTATTTTTGCGGATACGCTGTAAGACGTCTTTATAAATGGTAGATCATAACCAGAAAAATTATACAAGCTTCTATACAGTATGTTTAAAAAGTATTATCGTGTGGGGTAAAGTTAATTTTATAATTTATCATTTCTGTATATACAGGGTGAGATGTAGGTAACAAGAAATTCTATATATGCACCAAAAAACGTCAATTTTTTTCACCTCACCCTGTGGGGTAAATTACTACCGATACCAAACCAATACTCTCGTAAGTTAAGTAAGTATTATTATTTATTGTTAGTTTTGTAAAACAAATGCATTTTTGTAGTATGTAAATGAAGCAAAAATACATATTATATTAATAGATGTATAAACAATGTTATATTTACCACATTTCAGTCGTATATTATCTATTTGATGGTACTTGAAACCCAGAAATTTTTATCACTTACCGTAAAGATATTGATTAAAAACTATGAAATATTTGGATTTGGCGTTTTACTCTGTTTGGACAAACACCCGGTACATGTGCTACGGTTCCCTGTAAAATACCGTATGATCACAAATAAATTAAATGATGCAGTTTACGAAATCTGGCTTCAAATTTGTTTTACTTTAGTTGTCTATAAATTGTTATTGCATAACAGTTGTTGATGTATAACAGTTGCATCCCTACAACTCTTAATCTTTCCGTCACTGTCACCGCACTGTAATTTTTTTCAAAAAAATAACAGTTGCAAACTACAATATATATATATTAATTTTTTATGTATGGAAACTATTAATGTTTTTTTTTGTGTAGTCTGTCCAATGAGAGGGGATAATAATATATTACGCGTCAGGAACAGTTTTTGTCTGTTATTTCAATTTCTTCTAGGTTTAATACGTAACAACTACAAAAAGCTTACGTTCAGCTGTAACTTTCAGAAACATCAGTGATAGGCATAGCAAAGCTCAGATTATACTGTATTTATTTATTTGTCATCATATGGTAGTGCTGTGTTTCTTTTAACTATATTTTTTTGTATGACTAGAGATATTCCTGACCCAACTATTAATTTTTTAATCTCAAATGTAAAGTATGAGACAATTGACAAAAATAGTCGGTTAAAAGATTCAAACCCATTGATAGTATATATAAACTGATAAATGATATATTTTGATGTGTTTTTAGCGAAATAGAATAGCCATCTTTTTCAACAGCTACCCATACAGGGGCAATTCGAATAATAGAGATCATATTCTGGAAAGAAAAATGTCTAGACGGCGCTAACTGACACACACACCCGTTTGTATACGAGGAACATTCAAAAAGTTGCGCGTTCTAGTCATGGGTAAGCAGAACAGCAAACTGAAACCCGAAGTATTAGAAGATTTGAAGCAAAACACGGAATTTTCAGGTAAAACATTTGTCAGTTTAGATTGTCTTTAGTTATATTTGAGAGTGTTTTTGTTTGGTTTTAGATGCCGAGATACAAGAATGGTACAAAGGTTTCCTAAAAGACTGCCCCAGTGGACATTTGTCAGTTGACGAGTTTAAAAAGATTTATGGAAATTTTTTCCCATATGGCGATGCCAGTAAATTTGCAGAACACGTGTTTAGGTATATTATTGTTAATTCTCATATTAAAAATAGTCTTTTTTGCTATAAATTGCCTACAGTTAATAAATCTTCTATTTAAAAAAAATAAAAAAGGTTTATGCTTGTTAAAATCGGGGCATATGTGCTGAACATACCGTGCTGGCAACTGTTACTTTTGGGTCGGTATTTACATGTGTGGAAGTAAATTGCATAGGGATCTTATTAAGTCGGAGTGAGAGAAATGTGAGGGTGTGCTGTTGCGGCGTTGCCAGTATACCTTTCCCTATCAAGTAAAGGTCTCTATAAAAACTAGATAAAATCATTAGATATGTTTCTAAACATCTGAAATAGAATTATAAGAATATCGTTAGGGTGTCTCAAAACAACTTTTTTACACATAACAAGCCATAACTTAAGAACCACTTTAGATATTGAAACTTTTTTTTGTTGTGAAGATCTGATCTTTTACAATATGTGTAAATAAGGAAAATTCGATAAGGTTGTTTTTTTTTCATTCAAAATTTTTAAACAACCCCTCCGTTGACTTTCAGTGCATAGCAATTTTCAGCAATCGTTTAACTTTTATTTATAAAGATTTTCACATACTGCCTGCGAAGAAAGTATAGCAGAAGTGTTAAGAAAGTTTTTGAAAAAACTATAATCAATTATGTCTAATAGATTTGGAGATCTCGATTTTTGAATTCAGAGTTCTAATAGCTCGACCACTACCGAACACCAACTCAATTCCACTTATTTTTACCAAAAATGCATGTGTTTCTAGCTTGCACTTAAAAAAAATCAAGCTATAGGGAAAATTACAACGACTCGTTAATAAATAAACAAATCAAGTATCACGAGACATAATTAAATCGTGAAGCTGAACGCATGATTCCCTAAAACTTTAAGTACTGACAGAGGTACTGATTGGGTTGAGCGGTCGACTGCGACAAATCTGCTATATCCCCTTCCACGTCTTTCAGCAATGTGCACAGTTTCTCGGTTTATTTCATACGTTTGGCAACGTGTTTACTGTTCTCTCTTTGTTCAGTACATTATAAAAGCATTGTACTCTTCCTTCATACAGAAATATCGACCCAAGACTAACCTTTGCCAGTCCTTAGTATATCTATCTTTGTTTTCAGGACGTTTGATGCAAATGGTGACGGTACTATAGATTTCCGGGAGTTTTTGTGTGCACTATCCGTCACCTCGAGGGGAAAGCTCGAACAGAAACTGAAATGGGCGTTCTCCATGTACGATTTGGATGGGAACGGCTATATATCTCGACAAGAGATGCTAGAAATTGTGACGGTAAGTACTTATATTGCCCAACGTTACATTTTAGCGCCCAACGTTAAATTTTGCTGCCCAACGTGGGGCGCCAAAATTTTCGAAAAAAATCCATTTGACGCAGACTTTCGACTAAGCGATTTCTATTTCTTTTTCCCAGGCCATCTACAAGATGGTGGGCACCGTGATGAAGATGCCCGAGGACGAGAGCACGCCCGAGAAGCGCACCGACAAGATTTTCCGCCAGATGGACAAGAACAAGGACGGCAAACTGAGCCTGGAGGAGTTCATAGAGGGTGCCAAGAGCGACCCCTCTATCGTGCGGCTGCTGCAGTGCGACCCGCAGGCCCAATAGAGGCGCGCGAGCCGCGCCCCCTTCTTCCATGTTGTGATTGCAGCAGTGCCGATCAGGGACCTCGAACCGTGCGTTAACGTCGCCGGTGTAATGGACTTTTTAGGTTGTTGTCAGGTCGTCTGGTTTCGCTGGTCGCTAAAATAACGTCGAAATGACGTCGGAGTTCTGGCTGGTTCATACTTCCGATCCTAATCCTAACAGTTTAGAGCTCTTTCCGCCAGTAAGTCCAAAACTAAGGTTATTAAGGTATTTACAAATGATATTTGACGTGTTGATGTTTATAAATAATTTATAATTGTTCATTCTGTGGTCTGATAATTATTAATTTTTATTTATAAACAATAATGTTATCATTGTGTAGGTTTCTAAAAATTAGAAAGGTTTGTAAATTTTGGTAAACCCAAATATACAGAGTGGTCTGAACTGTATCCCGGAAACTTCGGCAGCGTATTCTGCAGATAAAAATAAGTAAAAAAGTTCGTATAAATATATATCCTAAAATGCTTACTTTCCGAGATACAGGGTGTAGAAGTTTCATTTTTATTTCGATTTTTTCCAAATAATTTATGAAGTAACGTCAATATTTAGCTGAAAATTGGTGTCTGGGAGTTTGCTTGCACGAGAAATTTGATTTTGATGTCAATATGACTCCTACTTGTAGAGGGCGCCACCTACATATTTTTTAACCGGTTTGAAGAGTAATAACTTTTCGTCCGTATCTGTATAAAACTACTGAGTTATAATAATAGTAAAAATTATACACTTACGACGTTTTTTACATAAAAAGGCCTCTTGGTAACTCGTTACGAGTAATGGTTCTCGAGATATTTGGAATCGAAATTATCAATACCTGTCATTGTTGACAAAGTGAACATGTTGACTAAATAGTGTTGACTGAAATAATAAATTTGAAATGTTAATGAACTATCTACTCAACGTGTTTATTTTTTGTCAATAATAACATATGTCGACTATTTCCATTCTAAATATCTTGAGAACGGTTGCTCGTAACGATTTTTACCAAGAGACATTTTTTACGTCAAATGTCACGGAAGTGTTTATTTTATCACTCAGTAGTTTTATACAGGTACGGACGAAAAGTTATTAATCTTCAAAACAGTTAAAACGCATGTAGGTGGCGCCCCCTACAAATAGGAGTCGTATTGACATCAAAATCAAATTTCTAACGTCAAAAAACTTCCAGACATCAAGATTCATCCAAATATTGACGTTACTTCAGAGATTATTTGGAAAAAATCGAAATAAAAACGAAACATCTACACCCTGTATCTCCGAAACTAAGCATTTTAGGACATACATTTATACGAACTTTTTTACTTATTTTTATCTGCAGAATATGCTGGCGAAGTTTTCGGAATACAGTTCGGACCACCCAGTATGTGGGCGCAAGCACATATTGAAATATTCGAAAGACTAGAAGGAGAGTATAATGCACATTTTCTTACATTTATTAAGGCTGAGTTCTTAAGGTGTATGATAATGCACATGATCATACACTTATCGTTTCCGGGCTGTAACGTTTCCGTTGCATCAACCGGACCGTGTATTCGCATATTCATACACGATGCGTTTTCAGTTTGCTTCAGTAAAGTAACGTTTTTCGATTTTTATCTTATAAAAACATGTACAATTACACCTATATTGGATGTAAATTAAACAATGCAAAGCTCAATAAGAATATTTGGAATATATCCAATGTTAAAAGCATTAATACAATTTCCAACAGGATCAGCAACCTACCGAAATCTGACATGTATGATGTGATTTTGACCGACTTTGCATGTATGATACGATACGTGCCGAACAGTCTGAATTAGTTACTATTAACTACTAAATAACATTTTTCGGAATCAAAACCTTACATTCCGAAAACGATACGTGTATGATACTATGCGCAAACCTTGAAGACTAATGTTTAAAGTAAGGTTAGGACAAATATCTGAAGTATGAACCGACCAAAACGTCTCGAAAATGCTGCGATCGCGTGTCTTATTCTGAATCTCATTCACGTCACTATTATAAGTGTGTCTATACGTATTTATACAGGGCGATTCACTATTACGAAAAATTTTCTTATCAAGATTTATCTTTGAGATTTTAAATTCATTTTTTTTATAAATTAGTACGGAAATGGATTACAAAATTGTTAATCAATGAGATTTAACCTTTAATTGGTGTATTAATAACCCTAATTTGGAGTATTTTTAAATATAAATTTCTTCACGTTTAAGCATCCAATTTAGCGATTGTTTTAGTGTTTCAAAACGTGACTAAAACTGTAGCATATTTTATAGAAAAAAAATAAGTTAAAATCTCAAAAATAAAACCAGATATGGAGATTTTTTCTTGAATAATGAAACGCCCTGTACTTTTCGACTTTTCCTCAGTTTTAAATCTAGCCTCATTTAATTTATTGTCAGATTGAGAGTTATTTTTGCCGGTAGGATTGTATATAAGTAGAATTCACTTAAAAATTCGCCAGAAGTGTGTGTATGTATAAATTTTTTTTTCCTATTTTTCCTCTTTTTTATGAAACTTTTTTTTATCCTCATAGATATATTTTTGTCAAAAAAAATCATCAAAAGAAACACAAGGTATCTGCACCAAAAAATCTGTTGTAAGATTTTCCAAATATTGTCAGTAAACTAAAGGTAAGTTTATAGGTTTTATGGGGCAGATATCACATAATTTTTTTATTCAGAATTGCCAATCATAGAATTTATAAAAGAACTAGAATAACTTTCCCAGTTAAAGATGTTATATTATTTTTATTCTGTGGTAGTTTTATAATAAGTACTGCTGAAAAACCTTGACTTAAAAATATGCGTAGATATATAAACATAACATTATTATATACTCCATGAAGGTTGTACAATATACCGGGTTATACATCAGCTCAGGACATACAGGGTGGTGCATGATCGTGGTATAAACCCGGTATGTAAAATATGTGGGACTATTTATTCTAAGTCCTTTTATGAAATTTATGTACCTGAGTACTTTGAGCGCGTATGATTTTTTTTCTAGTAAGTATTTACAAATTTATATCGAAAAATAAAGATGATGAAAGAAAAAATATTAAAATACGAAGTACCCTTAAAAATAATTAAATATTTACTCCCTTTAAAAATATATTTCCACGATATGCTATATATATTCAATATATCTTGTAAGTGTTAATGTTTTAAAATTTTTAAGTGTGACTAAGACTCTAAGATGGGTTAATGCAAAGACTTGCGACGAAATTTCGAACTCGCCGACAAATAGAGAACTGAAGAAATAAAAACGTCGTTGTAGTAGCTCAGTGACAGTGCTTGCTGATTATGGCTTATTTCCTTGCCTACTATGACATCGTTTTGACCAGTAAAAGAATTTAGAAAATGTGAGCAACTCGGTCAAACTTCTGTCTCGAGTCTTTGACGTAATTTTTAAAGTAGATTCTCTATTAGTATAAAAGGAAATTAATGTTCCATAAGTCCTTTTTAATAATAAAACAAAGAAAATTGTTAATTCCCGACTATGTGTGTTCGTGCACCAAAAAATGTTTCAACCTTCCTATTTTGGTGACCAAACCAAGCAAGGAATGGGAAATCTATAAAATATTTTCGCCTTTTCTATTTATAAACGATAATCTATCTACTGTGTGTTCTCTCGCCGACCTGAACATAGGAAATCCCATGTAAATTTTAAAAATGACGAATAAGTTTTCCAATTTAATTTTACAGAAAAATATATTTGAAACTTTTTAAAGAACTCTTTAAAATGAAGCAAATTTTTCATTTTGAATGGTTTATACGAATTCGTTCTTCACTTATGAGAGGTACAAAAATACTAAATTAAGCGAAATAAAAATAATATAATGCGGTTCTGATCAAACAAACACAATAATCACAAGTTATGTCACACGATATGACAAATTAAAATTTTGCCCTACGTTCTTCATCACCGTCCATTAATTCTTGGTGTTGGGAATATTTCAATGGCTTAAAATTATGTTTCTTGTAAATTCACCAAGCAGTGGAACGATGTTTTTCGACTGTTTCTCCAAGTATTTCGGTTTTTACTTTCTTTTTTTTTAATATTTTTAATTCATATTGATTTACTATTTCTTAATTATCTCTATCAATATTCTTCTTTTTATATTTACAGTCTTTAGTAACTTTTCTTGATGCTTAAACCCTTCATTTACATTTTGAACTGTTGATTGGATTTGACACAGAATAGCCCTTTTTGATAAATGTACAGAAAATAAACATTTTGCAACTTGTAGACTATTTCCTCCATTATACTACTTAACTTTATTTTTTTAACAGTTGTATAACCATAGATAAATGAAACAAGTTTAGATTGGAAAGTGCTCATAAGGACAATGTAAACACTATTTGGCGCTATTCTTGCAACGGTCGCGACAGAAAGCTTTTGATAATTTCGGATCGGTTCGGCTTTTTCCGGAATTATGTTGCCAAATATTATTTATTCAAATTTATTATTATTTTCTTTTAATTTTATAAATAAAATACAGTGTGTTGCATACAAAAAACTTTATTTTATATAAGAAGATGTATGTGAAATACCTATGAAACATTGGAAACCGATGTTTTGCCACGATCCACGATGGTTTTTGCAGTTCACAGTTCACAACACAGTTTTTTAGTTTTTAATGACACTTTTTCACAATTATCACGGGTTTGAGTAAGTAAAATTTAAATTAAACTCACAAGATAGCAATAATTACTTTGAAAATGGAAGATTTTATAATTTTTGAAGACTCTGACTTCACAAGAGAAAATCATTTCTGTTATTGTTTGGCGGTTGTTCTTAGCAGCGCCAGATCGCGTACAACGGTCGCGACCCAAAACATTTATATATTTTGACGAGCTTTCCAATCTAAATTTATTTCTTTTATCTATATATGTATAACTATATATATATTAATTATATATCTATCAATATTAGGTATGTTTTATCAGGTATATAGGTATATAGGTATTTTTGGCAACAATATCGTCAATTTGACATTAAAATATTGATTTATATATTTACGTGGAACTTTTATTTATTATTCTTAAAATGCGATTTCCTATGTTTAGGTCGAAGATGCAACACACGGTGTAATAGTTCTGTCCAAGGTATAAAAATCTGGACAGGCTTTAACTATTAATGACGAATGTTGAATATATCCTTAAAAATGTCCATTTTCCGGACAACCTTTGCTCCTTTTCGTAGATATGTTCGCGATTTAACCGAAAAAAAGGAAATATTTGATGGTAAAACTGTTTTTTTTTTTCTAAAATGTATGGTTTCGTAGAGTACAATATGAGCCTTAGATAAAGGAATTTAATTTTGATCAAAGAAAGTGCAAAAATCATGGCCTAAAATTACTTAAAAATTATCACTCATAATTTTGAAATTCTTAAAATAATGCCAATGGTATAAAATTGAAATATTGTTACTGAGGCTTCTAAAATGCCAATTAAACAATAAAATATTAATTAACAATATATAAATAATCAACTCGTTGCTAGAAAACAAAAAATCCTGTTGTTAAAAGGACTTGATTTAGATATAATGCGATATAATAATATAATATACTCTGCGGAAGTAGCGTTCTTTCAATTTGTTTGTTGATATTAAGCTGTGATTTAATCGAGAGATATTTACACCCACATAGTTTGATTTTCAAGTTTACCAGTAGTTTGTTTTACTCATCCCTGTAACTAAATAGTATACACAATAAACCAATGACTAAAGAATACGAGGACAGTAACGCCCATATACGGACTGCAGCAGAATTTGTGATGTTAGACCCCATTTTTTGGATGTAACGACATTGGTGGTAAATAAACAGTTCGCTCCACCTTTTTAGTGTTTTCTTATTGAATTCGATATTTTTTTGCTGATATTGTATATGCTGTACGTCGATACTAGTTTTGTACCTTTAGTTAACATTTTAATACGTTTTTTTCGAAATTAATTAGTATGATACCACTGAATACACCATAGGCGTAGTCAAAACATTTATCAAAAATATAAATATTTCTTCAATTCAAATTTTAAGTTAAGAAAAATATGTGCCACGGCACTGTTTGGAGGTATGGTAACAATTTGGGTCTCGGGTGTTATTAGTCCTTGTATCATTTAGTCAGTACAATAAACCTTGCTTAATAGGCAAGCTAAAATGTATATGCTTTGGGTTTTGAATGAACAAGTTCATCAAAATATGGTAGTGATGAGCCTTCCATGGTATGCAACTAACACGACACCTAATGATAATTTTTTGTTTGCTAGTTAATTTCAACTCTAAGAATAATCGACATAAGGTTGAAAATTAAACGATATCATTATAGCACTTTGATTTAACAGTTTTATGGCAAAAGAAAGTTATTTAAGATATATTGATAAGAACTGATAATATGATATAAAAATTAGTATAACCGGATGGATTTGTTAGGATTAAGCATATTTTTAGTTGCATATTTATTGGCGTATAAGGTATATTTTATTTAGTACAAAGATGAGTAAATAAAATTGACGACATACATTTTTTTTAAATATTTTGCGTAGATTAAAATGTTTGGGCCTGGTGCACAAAACCAAAATTTCTTATACGAGATGTTAAAAAAGTATTCGTTCTCGTGCTATTGTCGCGACCTGTATAATACTTGAGTTTCGTAGTAGTTCGGACATGTCTATACGATCTTCCCTTCTGTAATACTTGTGACATGTTTCGTTTTTTTACCTCTCCTATTCTTATAATTGTATTTAAAATACGTGTAATAAAATTATTAATTAAAATAAACATTGCTGGTTATCTAAACTGCTATATGAATTTTATTTAACCCCATTTTTTTTCTAAGGCCACTTCTACACATAAAATTTTACCGGTCAGTCAAAACGTGTCAAAATTAAAACAAATTGCCTAATACAACAAATTTATTAACAAAAAAATGAAGTGTCCTTTCTAATATGACAGTTTATTGTATCTTTTGTTGAATGTTTCGTTTGCGAAGTAGTTGTACAGTCTTCCGCTCACTTCCGATCTGGTAACTAGTTTGACATCTTCTAAGTATCTGTCAAATGACTCGAGTTTGTAGAACGGGTCGCTGTAAGTTCGTAAAACTCTCTCTGCCCAGGTCTGAGGTCGGGGAATGTTTCGTCTATAACCTAAGAGAATACAACATCTAAAAATACAGGGTCCTGCAACACTGTGTCTAGCATATACAGAGTAGGAGTGGAACCGTTGATTGAAAGAATTGGGAAGATACGCAACCTAACAAGTGCTCAAATGCTACTCTCAAGTCCTATAATATACGGTGGAGACACCAATCGTTCTGCGGTCAACGCATAAAACGCTAATTTTCTCTATGTTTTATTAAGCGTTTCTGGCAACACTGTCTCCGGCTACCACTATGTCGACTGAAAGCAGAACTACGATAAAGTATTCTTTATCTGCTGCGCCGTAAACGACTATTAGTGCGCAGCGGCGCGGCGCAGAGCTAAACTAAATCTCGGAATTCTCGGACAGGCTGACGGCAACGCCAGCTTCATCTCGGACAGGTGTTGTGCCACTAAATCGCCGATAAGGTTGCGCATCTTCTTATTTCTTCGGTCAACGGTGGAACATTTTTGTGAGGGAGTTCAATAATGACTGAGCGTGAGAGTTGACTTTTGAGTCCTCCCGTATCGAAAAAATGTAAATTACGGAGATAAAAGAGAAATTATAGGTACAAAATAATTAGAATTACCTTTCCTACGGCTCTCTATCACTTCAATGACGTTATCATAATAACTGCGTCTGTAATCGTATATGTATTTGTACTGCAAATACTTGGGTCTGAAAAAAAGAAATTTAAAAAATATGATGCCTATTTTTAACTATTAAAAATCTCCAAAACGTGACAGAAAATAACATTTTATCTATGAATTAAAATGACAGATAACTGTTACTGTCATTACAGATTATGGTAGATAATAATTTGAATAAAAATATTAAGGAAGGAGTATAATGCTATAATTCTACCCATTTATTCTTTGAATAAGAAGACTAAGGAAGGAGCATATCAAAAATCTTAGGTACACCGCGATGGGCCTCAAATATGGCCGACTTAAATTCCGGTTTATCAGTCTCGTTCTAATTTTATTTAAAAAATGTAAAACTATGATGTAGGGTAGACGTGGGGTAGACTCAATAATTTGTTGTTTTATTTTACGTTGTGAATAAATGTTGGTAGTTATTAAAATTGTTATAAAAATATATAATTCTAATAAAAATAGATAAGTTATAATAAGTATTTATTACCACAAACATCCGATACGCTACTGAAGCAGGTAAGTCAAATTAACGTATCTAAACTCTTTGACATATAATCTTTGACAAGTAATAAATAAAAGCTAAAATGCAAGAAAAATATATAATTTAGTTAATTTAAGTGAATTTCATAAATGATCGGTTTACTACACGTATGTATATTATATAGTCACTTACTAGCGAAAAGTTGTTCCATTATTTCACTCAATTTTTTGCCGAGATCTACCGCACGCTACACAACCAACTATTTTTTCGAGTCTTTTTCGATAAATCGCGATAGTGTCACTGTTAATTTAAGTGCTGCCACAATTTCCATCTAGATTTACTACCTTTATACAACTATCAGTAGTAGAATAAATAATAAATAACATAAAATAAGCCCCGTAAAGACTGACAAATCCACAAAATTTCAAATCAAATTCAAATGTGTCAAATGAATCGTCAAACAGAACTGTCAAGGATCCCCACCCTAGAGAGCTTTTATGGTGCTTTTTCCGCCCACCATGCATGAATACATGGATAGCATTATGCTCCTTCCTTAGTCTTCTTATTCAAAGCATCTATTCATGCATTGGAGACCAAATCGACAGCATGAATCCCCATTTTTGCAAATCTCAGATTTCAATTGACACTTTTACGTATAGCAAACCAATCAGTTATAAAATTCAGTTAGAAATAACTAACATTTCTTGCATTTTTATTTATAACTTGTCAAAAATAATTATGATATACGTCAATTTGGATTAGTTTCAGTCATGTTTCAGTAACGAATCTCATATTTTTGTATTAAATAACTTCTCTGTTTATATTGGAAACATATTTTCTTTAATAATTAATATAACACTGCATCTAACTGTCACTCTCATAGATACCCTTCTCTTGTTGAATTGACTATAGTACTAGAAAACTGCAGTAAAGAATAAAACTACAAGATAGAAATTAATAATATAGCATTTATTGGCAGTAACCATCACATTTAAACATTCTTCTACTTAAGTAATATCGACAATATCTTCCTAAATCAACTCCAATGAATCCTCCACAGTCTACAAGTACATTTCTCACATGGCATTTCTTCTAAAAGTTGTAACAACCCTAAGCTTGTAATAATTTATTTCTATTTAATGTAGGTACTTAATCAACAATTAAAATACCCTTGTCTTAAAGCAGTATACTCGAATATCTTTTATTGATGTAGGTTTTGCTATGGTGCAGCTGAAATTTGCCGCTGAATTTCGTGTCTTGGATTAAAATCTGGTCAGCAATCTTTCTTCTGAAGCTTTCCAATTGATTGGATTTCTTGTTGTAGGTTCTGAGTGCTCTCTCTGCCCATGTTTGAGCTACGGGGATGTCTCTAAAGATGCCTTTGTTTCTTTTATCTAGGTAGTCGATCACGTCATCGTAGTAGTTGTATCTGTAGTCAGTGAGGTACTTATAGGGCAAGAATTTTGGTCTGAAACAAAAGAAATACATAAAATGTTATGTTAGTATATACAATAACTGGTATCGAAGAATAATATATCAGTTTTTTTAGTATCTCTGTTGCAATAGATTAACTGTTTTGTATATGTTAAAGATTTAAATATTTATTTATACAGGGTGCTACAAATTCGAGGTACGAGCATTGGTATCTCGGAAACCGTACTAGATACGAAGATGGTCAAATTGGGGCAAAGTTGCGCCTTGGGATGTTCACCAAGATGCCATCAAAAAAGTTTTAAAAATTTCAAGGATTGTTGAGTTTTTTGGAAAAAACTGATTTTTTTGAAAATCAATTTTATTTTTTCCTGTCGTTGCTTTTGAGAAAATCAAAAAACTAATTGCACATTCTCATAGCCACTTTATTAGGGCTATCTGATAGTATTTTTAGATTTTCAAATTAGCTGATAATTTGTGAGATACAAAAGCCAACTTAATTTTTTTAAATACGGACCTGCATTTTTTATTTCAGATTTTGAAAGAACTCAGTCTCCTGAGTACAACGATATGCCACACTTTATACTTTTTTTGCTTTGGGTACCATAACAGCAACAAAACTACTTAATTATTATTTAAAAAAAATTCAAGCCCGACTCTGTTTTTTAAATTATTTAATCTGATTATATCCATTGCAACAGTATTGATCAGTGCTAATTAACATTGAATAAGGAAAATTGAGCCAATTGAAAAATTCATATAAATAAGATCCAGATTAGCAATTTAAAAATATTATTTTTAACTTTTCTTATTGTGAATTTGAAATTCTCAGTGTACGATCTAATAATTTGCATAATATTAATCGTAGTTATTATGAATAAATTAACTTATACAAACTAGTTTCTAATGCTTTACATAGTCTACATGTTCGAAAGGGTTACCGCCCTCCCTATCGCACAAATTTATTTTTCGTTCAATTTTATTTATAGCTTTTGAATAGATCCTCTTATACTTTCGAATGCATTTTGTAGTCTTTATTGTAACTGCCAAGATGTGTTGATTTCACTTTTTTGTAAAATTTGGAATTACTTGACGTCATCAAACGGTCCAGGTACCTCGCTGGCCATTATACTGCTCTACCATTTCCAATCCATCTTCCGGGGAAATGATTTGATTGTTTATATTACATTTTATTTATATTACTTTTTATTCACTGTTAAGTTTGAAAGCTTATCAATATTGTAACGATGAATATATTAAATATTAAAAAAAACAGAGCCGGACTTGAAATTAGTTTAAATAAATTGTGTCCAAATTTCCAAAACAAAAAGAAATATTAAGTGTGGCATATCATTGTACTCAGGGGAGGGATTTCTTTCAAAATCTGAAATAAAAAATGCAGGTCCGTATTTAAAAAAATTAAGTTGGCCTCTGTATCTCACAAATTATCAGTCGATTTGAAAATCTAAAAATACTATCAGATAGCCCTCATAAAGTGGCTATGAGAATGTGCAATTAGTTTTTTGATTTTCTAAAAAGTATCTACAGGAAAAAATAAAATTGATTTTCAAAAATATCCGTTTTTTCTAAAAAGCTCAACTTCAAGCAATCCTTGAAATATTTAAAACTTTTTTGATGGCATCTTGGTGAACATCCCAAGGAACAACTTTACCCCAAACCTTCGTATCTATTACGGTTTCCGAGTTACCAATGCTCGTACCTCGAATTTGTAGCACCCTGTATATTTGGGACAACTAATAACACAGCTCGGGATCTCTACTACCAGAAATCAACAAAAGAATTAAGTTAGCATGAAGTACTTATGGAAGGAACTCAATCATATTCAAATCTAGATGCCACTGTATCTATAGAAGAAAACATTCGACCAATGTGTACTACAAGTCGTGGACCTATGCATACAAAACTTGGACACTTAAAACGGAAATTATAAGGAAACACAACGCTCAATGGAACGAAATATGCTGATAATAATCAAGAAAGATCGTAAAGAATAGAGTGGATACGAGAAAAGAGTAGTCTAGTACCTGGGACTAGATGTCATCCACAGAATCAAATCCCTCAAGTGGTAATGGGCAGGACACATGGCAAGAAGGACGGATACCAGTTAATACTATTTTGTTTTGTTCAAAAAATGTGTGTTAGTTTTTATTTACTACGGTTGATAACCAAGTCTCTCAAATTTTTATTGATTGAGAAAAATTGAGAAATTCGGGCAAACGTTTTATTCAAAAAATGAGTTTATTTTTTAATATTATTATTCTTCATTTTTAAAAAACCAAAGCCTCTCCCCTTTCCTCATGTGTTCACCCCCATGGTACCAGAGGATAAGAAAACATTGTTTTTTGCAGACCAGTGTTATCTCTGTCATATGTTATGACTTCTAAACTAACTATTTTTAAAAAAATGCCTTCATCTCTCCAAAAAACTCTATATGGCTATTTCACCACTGACAAGAAGAATACAAAATAAAATAGTTATTTTTTGTAAACACTTCTGCGTTAATCCAAACGGAAACTACTTGTCAGAAGTTAGGTTTACAAATATACCAATTTACCTAACGAACAAAAAAATGCTTAACTATTCGGAAAATTTATGTCTTTCCGTCGTCGGAAGCAAAAAAATACAAAGAATAAAGAAAAAAAATATTTAAAATATTTGAATTCAACTATTCTATAACATTTTAGTTTTTTAAAACAGATACGTCTACAAAAACCGTTGACATTCTGTTAAAATGACATTATATCCAAGTTATACTTCAAAATTAACAATTACTACCTGATAACAATTACTTAATAATGTTAAACCAAAAAGCCCCAAACTTTCTGTATGATTATTTTTAATTTTTATGTATGTTATTTTCTTTAAAATCAAGGAAGCGATTGCCATACATTACTAACATCTATGGATGCATGAGCAATACATTTATTTTTATTAGATTTTATTAAAACAGCCTCTTTTATTTTTCTTTTAGAGGTTATCGCTTCTTTCATTATAATTTTGGCGTTATTAAAATTTGTTCTGTGCCCTGTGTCCCATGAATGCTGACAAATCTTAGATTTGTGAAAATCTCCCTTTCTTAAATAATCTTGATGTTCTTTAATTCGAACATTTAAGGGTCTAGGTGTTTCACCAATGTAAAATTTATCGCATTCACATGGTGTTTTGTATACTAAGAGCTGGCAAAGGTTAGTCTTGGGTCGAGATTTCCGTATGTAAGAAGAGTACAATGCGTTTATAATGTACTGAACAAAGAGAGCACAACAGTAAACACGTTGCCAAACGTATGAAATAAACCGAGAAATTGTGCACATCGCTAAAGGTCGATTTATAAATTGAAAACGGTGCGGTTCGACGTTGCGGTTGCGATTGTTTCTATTGGCCATTACTAACGTTTCAAGGTCAACGTTCCTGTAGAAGTTAAAAGTTGGTTAATTTTTGACGTAAAACGTCAACCGCAACAACATCCGAAAAATTTATTATCAACAAAACATCCTGCGTATAAACGAACTTTTTACCGACCGTAACGTCGAGTGTCGAACCGCAACGTTTTCAATCTATAAATCGACCTTAAGAGACGTGGAAGCACGTGGAAGGGGATATAGCAGATTTGTCGACTTGTGTCTAGCCCTAGCAGGCAACTATTAAGCCCGACCAATCACGTTAGAGTTTTTGACAAACACAAATGAATTAACACACTTCAAATAACCACGCTAACAAACCTGATTGGTTAAGCTTAAAAGTTGACTGCTAGGGCTAGACACTTCTGATTTGTCGCAGTTGACCAGTCGACCCAATCAATACCTCTGTCAGTACTTAAAGTTCTAGGGAAAGGTGTACGTCATGCGTTCAGCTTCACGATTTAATTACGTCTCGTGATACTTGATTTGTTTATTTATTAACGAGTCGTTGTACAGTTGTACAAATATAGGAAGAGACTTGGGGATAGCACCGGTCGCGTGTTATTTTATATTTCTCACGTCTCTAGCTATACTTGTTAAGTTGTAATTTCCCCTATAGCTTGATTTTTTTTAAGTGCAAGCTAGAAACACATGCATTTTTGGTAAAAATAAGTGGAATTGAGTGGGTGTTCGATAGTGGTCGCGCTATTAGAACTCTGAATTGAAAAATCGATATCTCGAAATCTATTAGAAATAATAGATTGTAGTTTTTTCAAGAACTTTGTTAATATTTCTGCTGTATTTTCTTTGTAGACAGTATGTGAAAATCTTTATCAATAAAAAAATTACACGATTGCTGAAAATTGCTATGCTATAAAAGTAAATGGATGGATTGTTTACAATTTTTGAAAGGAAAAAACAACCTTATCGAATTTTTCTTATGTAAACATATTGTAAAATATCCGATCTTGAAAATAAAAAAAAAAGTTTCAATATCTAAAGTGGTTTTTGAGTTATGGCCTGTAATGTGTTAAAAAGTTGAGTTATTAAATTATCGCGATTACTGACGTTTTCTCGTTATAAAAAAAAATGACACCCTGACGATATCCTTATAATTCCATTTCAGATGCTCAGAAACATGTCTAATGATTTTATCTAGTTATATCTTGAAAAAAAAGTCTCTTAAAAATAAGCGGTTTGCGATCGTGATTTTACTTTACTTGATAGGGAAAGGCGTATCGGCAACGCCGCAACAGCAAACCGTCGCGCGTCGCGTCGGTCGGTCGCATTTCTCTCACTTCGACTTAATAAGATCCCTATGCGATTTACTTCCACACGTGTAAATGCCGACCCAAAAGTAACAATTGCCAGCACGGTATTACATTTTCTTGCAGTCGCGAAATACCCATATAGGATTTTTTGGAGATAACTATTTTTGTTTTGCAGTTTTCTGTTTCAGTAGTAAAGTTCTTCGTTACTTGACAAGCACTTTTGTTAATCAGGATTAAATTAGCCCGACAATTATAAGGATTATTAATAGCATTAATCAGCATTCCAGTGGTGAAATGTATAGGATCTAGGTTACGAAAAGAGCAAATAAAAAGCAGAGGATGTACAA